AGCACGCCCTTGTGGTTCTGGGACTAACCTACTTGTAAAGGTATTAGGTAACTTTGCCTCTGATTCTAAACAAAATCCTGGATTTAGCTCATGCTGCAATCATATTTATAAACCTTTAGGTTAGAAATGAATCCCATGACTTTTACAAGCCAATCACATGTTTGATTATCAAGATATTTATGATTGAATTTGGAAATTTCAAAAACCGTTTTTCCAATGGTTATTTTATAACACTACAGTCTATTGGGAAATTGAGAATGGTAAAACCGGTCACTCAAAGAATTTTACTTTTTTAAAGCACTTCATGATCATTTTGTAGTGCAATTTTGTTAGGGCTTCAAATATTACACCAAATCACAGAAACTGATAACACATCTCAAGGCAAAGCATCTCAGATTTGTAAAACTTGAAACATTATTAAACAATGCCTTTAAAGAAGACAAAAAATGAATAATAATTACTATCTAAATAATCATAGCTAATCATTTCATCACTATGAAAAAATTACGACAAGATACCCACACACATAACGGAAATGCATTCATAAGTAGTAACACATAGTCAGACTCTGTTTAGAGATTGTCTCAGATAAAGTTTATTGTAAGTAGCATGGCACGAGAGAGAGTCAGCAGGAAAGTTTCCATAAAAATGGCAAAAATAATACTTAAAAATAATATCTTTAAAATAACAAAATACTGTTCACAACAAAATCATCTAACAAAGAGGGGGTGTTTTATAGTTGCCTTCAGCATAAACAAATACAGAAATATTACACACTAAAATACCATTTATCTCATTACAAATAAAATAAAAGTAAAGAAAAAACTTTCTCTCAAAATTAATAAAATAGAACAAAAACATGGAAAACATTTTCAAATATACCTAATGGTCACAGTTCTCTGTACAAACAATTGCTAAACAAACATGAATTTAGGTATCTGAAATTCGTTGAACATTCGTTGTAAACACAATCTTGTCAATGCAAGATGATGTTGAATTTTATAACACATATTTTACACAGTGCATAACAATTGGCATTTTTCTCTAAATTCACAGTTAATTGCAATTTTACAAATATACAAGCAAACAATCAAATATAGAAATATTTCTGTGAATATAATAAGATGCCATGAAAGGAAAAAAATAAGATTATTATCAAAATAAACTGCATATCTGTTAACTAAAAGTAACATTTTAAACTTGCCAAAGCTTGCATATTAGAAATACAATATTAAAAAATTGTGCATATCTGTTAAAAATATAATAATTCTACATCTACCGTTCATCACCATAAATTTCCACTTAAATAATAATCAACATCACAGCTTAAAGAAGAATCAACCAGTGGACAATAATAATTTGTTCTTAATATTAAAGGTATATAATAATATACAGTGAAATATGCTTTATAAGCACCTACATCCACATGTTTAGAAAGAGCACATTTTCTGTTTCCTTTAAAGAATAAAATTTTTATTGAAAAGTAAATGGAACCTGTACACAAAGATCAACTGCCAATAAAGACCACTTTTCTTATCTCCTTTGAACAACCTTTATATACAGGTTTGAGTGTATAACACTTCTATTTTCACCCACTTCCTTCCTGTGCCTGGCTTTCAAACAAACATTATCAAAACAAATTGTATAATGAGTTTCAAGACGAAAGTACAAATATGATGGATTATAATATAAATATCACTCTTTTAGTAGTTCGATAACATCATCTCAATCCTTGCCAATTTAATGAAAAGACCAATATCCACTTTAAAAAATATTGATTTTGAATTTTTGATATTGAGGCGGAGGTCTAAAGGTGTATTCACTCAAAAAGTTATGAAAAAAGTGTTTCTTATTTGACGGTGATAAAGGTAATTGATTCCACATTTTAAATTAAATTCAATCTCCTTTCTTACATGCTATTGGTATGAAATTGACAATAAGAGCTATATGCTTTCTCAAAAAGTCACCATGATTTAAATTTCATTATTGTATTTTCTTTGTATTTTCTCTTGCCTTTTGTATCCTGTGATTCATTGCACAAACATAACTTGAACTCGTATAGGTTTATACTATAGACCTGGTCGTGATTAGTATAAAGATAACAATTTGTGCACTGCTATATACCAGGCAAGAGTAAATATTATTGATATCATGCATTTGTCCACTTCACCGAATAATAATCTTAATTGTTTGGGTTTGTAAGTTTGTTAAACTTCACGTTTCATCTGCAAAACTGAAATTTACTTCCATGTCTCATGGAAGATGTAGAGCCTATCAAGAGTGCAGAAAGCAATCTCTCCCGTCTTGAATTCTTGCAAATGACACCATGCGAGATTTGGTGTCATGATCTTGAAGTCAGTGAGAATGTTTTTGATGTAGGTCAGCTCTTTTGTGTACTTGACGATACTCAGCAGACCCTGATCGTGCTTAACCCATGCAATGATGACTGAATCATCCTGACACACAGCAGGGTAAGGGTTTTCATCAGCCTTGCTGATGCTATGAATGCAAGCACCGGACACATCGTCGATCACGTGTACCTCTTTCCCAAAATGCTTAAAGACAATCGCTTGACTGGATGTCATCGCAAAAATCTGCGCGGGTACAAATCCGTTACACGGTATCTCTTTAATTGCCTTCCCCCCTTTTGGCTTAAATACCTGTATTTTCTTGCATTTATTGTAGCCTACGAAGATTAGCCCATCCTTGCCTACAGTGAGACCTCCAAACGAATCTCCCGTATCGGACATGGTCCCAAACGTTACAACAAGCTTTTCACAAAGTTCCGAGTACAAGAAAATCCTGTTATCAATGTCGCGTATGACGAATCCACCATCAGGCATGAAGTGTAAGGCACGAACTTTAACAGAGGTCAGAACGGGATCTTGTATGGTGCCCTCAGAAGAAAATAAGAATATTCCTCCCTTCTGGCAACCAACAGCCATCTCATTGTTTGGTGATATTGCCATTCCGTTCATGATGTTTCCAACAGGCAGCGGATCGTCCGTGCGCAGAACCCATTTTAATTCCTTTTGTCGAAGCTGGCCCAACTGGAGTCCATCCGATCCCTCACCCCTGAAGACAATTCTTTCACCTTTCTCTGCAGTTCTTCTGGGCAGCTCCTCATCGGGCTCAATCCGGCTTAGAAGCTCTTGCATCTGTTGGCACAACGCCTTATGTGAGGTCAAAGCCTCTGTCAGGATTGGAAAACTGAGACCATTCTTAACCAAATCCCGAGCTGTCTTAATCTGGTCTATCTGCTTACGACCCGACTCCTCCATGTCTCCCAATGAAGTCTCAAGGTCCCCTAGCTGGTGGTCAACTTCATTTTTCAACACCATCTTTCTTTCCTTCAACTTCTTAACTGATTCCTCAAAAGCCGCATCTATTTCATCCTTGAGTTGTTCCTTAACGTTGTGCACACTTTTACGCTGGTCTGCAACGAATGTAACATACTTGTCAACGTCGCGTATCTTTGAATCCGCTTCAGATGCAAGCTCTACGCTGTTATTCGCATGCTCTAATATGCCACACTTGACGCAGACGTACGTGTTACAGTTGAGACAAAAACATTCTTCGTCGTCACGTTTTTGACATTTTTTCCATTTTCTTTGCAATGATTTGTCTTTTTGATTACAGTTGGAACAGACCAGGCCTTGGGTCTCCTCATCTTCAACAGGTGATCTGACTGTTATGTTTGGTTGCAGTCTATCCACGTCTCCACCAGGAAGCGAACTCTTTCCCCTGCAGGTAGGACACAGCACAACGTCTTTGTACCAATGAGAGTCCAGGGGAGTCTCGTGACAACCCTTGCTGAAGGTAACGGAGCAGGTCAAGATCTTGGGTTCCTTGAAGAAGCTCAGGCAGAGAGGACACTTCAGAGTCTTACGGACAGTCTGCTTTAAAGAAGTAGCCATCATTGACAACTCAAGCAAACGACCTGCAATGAAAAGAAGGGGGAAAAAATCGGTGAATTAATTGGCCAACTCAATCAAAAGTGTCAAATATTTTTGTGAATACTTAACTGGCAAGTATTGCACTGAAAATCGTGAAACATAAAACATTCCACGATTAATAGGGCCTAACCGGTACTATTGTGATGGTTAGACTACCTTACAATTACTGTAAGTCAACAGACGAGGCGGTGAGACGTGATCATGGTTCAACCATTAATACCACACAGCCCAGTCTCGTATCTGGTAAAGTTTAGTCTTATTTCAAGCAGTTACAATGATACACATTATACTACATCTCCCCTCAAGTATTTGACAGTTCTTTTCAAGTTACATTAAAACACTAATTTGGGAATGCAGGGGTGTATATATATTTCTTGAGCCAACTTCTTGTTTTCATACACAAACTTTGTATTACATATCCAATATCCCTTGTCAAGTAATGTTCATTACTAATCCTCTATCTTGATTTCTTCAAACTTCTTTTCTTCATGCTTCCCTTTTATCTTCTACAAAGTCAATCGATGTGGTTGTTTGACTAGTCTACCAGAACGGGTATGGTATCCCAGTGTGTTTTGAGGATCCTGGGTAGGCGGGGGATTGGGAAGTTGCTCAGGACCTACAATGTTGTCATCATTGAGAGGGGTTGAGGGGGTAGAGGGGGCTTTGTCAGGGTCAGTGACATCCGGGCTATGAAGGGCTACCAAGGCACGTCTGTTTCGTCTCACCTACCCTACCATTATCCGTTTGGATGATGTAGGAACGTGGATGACGGGTCCCACTGACCACTTGACCACGGCGAGCTTGATCTCGGATCCACACTCCGTCACCTTGCTGTAGGGTTGGTAGGATGCGGGTTCTATGTCGTTGGTTGTAGTTCAGTGTCTGATTTGAATGGTACTTGTCTTCTCTCACTCTCACCTTTTCCAAGTCTTGAGCATGGACTTGTGGCATAAGTGTATCAGGTAGAGTGGGGAGTTCAGTTCGCAGTCTCCGTCCCATGAGCAGCTCACATGGCGCCAGACCATTCTGAAGTGGTGTCCACTGTTAACTCAGCAAAGCAAGGTCGATATCATCGTTCTTTTTCAACAAGGCTTTCACTGTTCGTACACCTCGCTCCGCTTCCCCATTTGCCTGAGGATACCTTGGCGAGCTGGTAGTATGGACAAACCTATACTTCTCAGCGAATTTCTGGAAAGTCTCATTCGCGAATTGTGGTCCGTTATCCGAAATCACCACATCAGGGATACCGTGTACAGCAAATATCTCCTTCAAGGATTTGATCACGGCTTCAGAAGTGTGTCCATGTAGCCTTTTTACTTCTATCCATCTTGAATAGTAGTCCTCTACTATAAGAAACATCTTTCCTTGATACTCAAAGAGATCCATTCCTAGTCTCTCCCAAGGACGCATTGGGAAGGATGAAGTCATCAATGGTTCTTTAGTCTCCTGACTATGGATGGTACAAGTAGTACATCTGGAGATCATCTCTTCCGCTGACTTCGAGAGGCCTGGCCACCAGACCGACTGTCGAGCTCTGGCTCTGCACTTTGTGATGCCTAGATGACCTTGATGTAAGCGCTGTAGGATGTCTAGTCTCAGAGCCCTGGGAATGACCAGTCTTTCATCATACATGAGCAAATCATCAATCACACTGAGGTGTCCCCTCTGTTCAAAGTATTGCCTGAGGATAGAGTTGTGAGGCATGTAGTCAGGCCAGCCTTTCTCACAATACTCTCTGATTAACGCACATTCTTCATCAAGTCTCTGTGCGTCTCTAATCTCCTCCAGTCTCCGGTCTGTTGCAGGTAAGGTGAGGGTAGATGAAGATGCGAAGGCTTCGGTCAATTCGTTTAGCTCAGCTATGTCCTCTGGCTTTGGGGATGCTACTGGTGCTCTTGAGAGGGCGTCTGCTGTGGCCTGTTGCTTTTCAGGCACGTATTCTGTGGTTGCATCATATCTCATCAACCTTAGTCGAAATCTCAGCACCCTAGGGGGCAACTTTGACAATTCCTTTGTGTTGAGCAGTGTGACCAAAGGCTTGTGGTCAGTTTCAATGTTGAAGGACATACCAAGAACATAGTCACTGAACTTTTCACAAGCCCATGTAGCCGCTAGAGCTTCCTTCTCAATGACTGCGTAACGTTGCTCAGTCTCAGTCAGCGAACGGGATGCATAGCAGACTGGCCGTCGGTGTCCATCCTTCTGAGTCTGGAGCAGTATTGCTCCTACTCCAGTCGACGATGCATCAGCAGCAATAGTTGTAAGCAATGATGGGTCGTAGTGGGCAAGAACTTCAGTGACATCTTTCATCATTTTCTTTATGTGCACAAATGCTCTCTGTTGTGGTTCCTCCCAGCACCATCCGTTGTCCTTCCTCAAGAGTACACGTAGTACTACCAAATTGGGTAGGAACTTTCCAACTTGATGAACAATACCCATGAATCTTTGAAGTTCTGTGATGGTCCTTGGTGCCGGAACCTCTCTGATTGCCCATGTTTTTTCTGGATCAATTTTCACACCTGTTGCATCCACAATGTGGCCTAAGAATTTCATTGTCTCTCGTGAAAATTCACATTTGCTGTTAAGGGTGAGGCCAGCTTCCACAACACGCTGCAACACTGCTCTCACCCTAGTGTCATGTTCTGCTGTTGTAGCTCCATGTATCAGAACATCATCCATGTAGTAGATGACTCCTTCCAGACCCTCCAGGATACCAGACATTGTGTGTTGGAATATCTCGGGAGCGGATGAGATCCCGAACGGTAGCTTATTGAAGCAAAACCTACCGAACGGTGTGATGAAAGTTGTCAGAAGCTTCGATTCTTCATCTAAGGGCAGCTGCCAGAACCCACTGTCTGCATCCAGCTTGGTGAAGATAGTGCCTTTCCCTAGCTTGGCAAGGCTTTCATCAACTGATGCCATTGGATGTACTTCCCGCTCTACTGCTTTGTTGAGTTGTGTAAGATCAACACAAATCCTGATTGCTCCACTAGGTTTTGGGACTGGTACCATTCCGGAGCACCATTTCGTAGGCTCTGTAACAGGAGAAATTACTTCTTGTTCTAACATCGAGTCAATTTCCTTTTTCACTTTTGGCAAGAGGGGGTGAGGAACTCTCCGAGGTGTGTAGAGACATACCGGTTTTGCTCCTGGGGATAGTGTGATATAATACTCATATTCTAGTTTCCCCAATCCAGTAAATAGCTGTGGAAATTCAGCCCTGAAATTCGCCTGCTCCTTCTGGGTATCTCCAAGTTCCTCTACTCTGATCAATAGATTCAGCTCTTCACATGCCTTTCTGCTGAACAATGAGCAATCTTGATTCCTGACAACGTAGACGGTTTCTGAGACTCTCCTATTTTTGTGTTGGAGAATGGCTTTGATCTGTCCCAAAACTTCTAGTTTTGTTTTTCCTGGTCCGCAGAGTCTCTTACCTACAGGCTTCAGTTTTATTCCACGAAGCCACTGTAGTCCATCTGATAGTACAGTTACCGCGGCACCACTGTCTAATTTGAAGTGCGTAGTGTTGCCATCTACTTGAAGATAAGCACCCCAATAGTTCTTGCTGGTGTCCTTAATCTCACCCAGGAAAACAGTCTCCACGTCAAGGGAATCCTCCAACTCATGCACTGTATTCTTTGCTCCAAATGATGAACTGCGGCATACCGCTCGAAAGTGACCTATTTTTACACACTTATGACATGTAGCCTCTCGGGCGGGGCAATTGGCACGGTCATGCTTCTGTCTGCCACAAAACATACAACCACCTTGCATTTGACTTGTAAGTGTGTCTTGCTGACTGCGTTTTGGTCTTACATATTTTGTGTCACTTACATTTCTTCATTTTACTTGCTCTACTTGGGCAACATCTGCATGTATTCCTTCACCTCGAACAACTGGTCTATTTGCTTTTCGAGCTTCTGCTTGCCTGCTTACTTGAACGGCCTTCTCTAATGTCAAATCATCCTTCGCTTGGAGTTGATCAGACAATCCATCATCAAGCACACCAACAACCATCCTATCTCGGATCAGTTCATCTTTTAATGTTTTGTACTCACAGTCTTGAGCTAGCCGATATAAATCGTTAATGAAAGTATCTACACTTTCCCGAGGCTGCTGGCTACGCCTGTTAAACTTTGTACTTGCAACGGTAGTGTTCTTTCTTATGTTGAAATGTGCTTCGAATGCTGCCACAACGCTTGTGTAAGTTGCGGTGCTTTCATCAATACCCCCGAGTCATAATAATGTCGTCCGCACAGTCACCCATGGCATACAACAGTGTACTGACCTAGCTGTTCTCCATCCGGCTGTGAAGCGAGCCCCGATGTGGTCCGATAGCGCTTGAACCTCCGGTACCATTTTGGCCATGCATCAGCTTGATTCAGGCCAGCAACCTTCTCAAAAGTCTCTGGTAATGGGAGTGATTTTTCCATGATTCAATTTTTTACCGCTGCTACCCTATTGTGATGGTTAGATTACCTTACAATAGGGACTTTTAGATTTGCGTAGACTGATACGTGTGACGTCCATTCAAGACGTCGATCGTAGCATATATAGACCTATTGTCTTCGTGCGAATCTAAAAGTCCCTAATTACTGTAAGTCAACAGACGAGGCGGTGAGACGTGATCTAGGTTCAAATTAAAAACCACACAGCCCATTCTCGTATCTGGTAAAGTCAAGCAGTTACAATGATGCACATTATATACTACAGGTACAACATTATGAAATTACTTAAAAGCAATCTTCTTTGGAACTTACGTTTATACGAAGTAGCTCTAACGGCGACTATGCTCTCAATAAGAGGTGTATGATAATTGTTTGTAGAGAGTGGGAATTCCCACCGACATTCAGCGACATGCGATACTTGAACTGTTGACCCACGCAACGCAAGTCAACAACCCCTCTCGTTATACTTATAGCATGCGGGAATTCCCCCAACAATGGGGACTTTTAGATTTGCACGTCGACATAATGGACTGCTACGTGTGACGTCCTTTGACTTAAAGGGACGTCACACGTAGCAGTCCACCGTGTCGACGTGCAAATCTAAAAGTCCCTAATATGTACTGGATAACATACAGGGGCGTAAATCCGTACCGAGGAGTGGGGGGATGATCGGCGATAGCCATCACATAGCACGAGCACACGCCTACACCAATTATTTACGCAAGCGCGCGCGATCGCGCACGCACGCAAACACAACAGACACACACACACACGCACACACACACACACGCACACACACACACACACACACACACACACACGCACACACACGAACGCACACAAACGAACAAACACAGACATACCCAAACACATGTACATAATTTTATACATGCATACATACATGCACGCACATGCCTAATTTGACAACCATAAAGTAAAAGAATTGAACATATTTCGAAATACTGACAGCTGCAAACTGTGGTGCTTTATAATAATGAACTCCGAAAGATTGAGTATTTCGTCAGGAAGATGCGAACTCTTTATTTTGAGTCCCATCAGAAAATAATGTATAATGGTCATGGGCGTCGCTAGACCATTTTCAGTGGGGGGGGGGGGGGGGGGGGGGGTTGTAGAGGCCAACGAGTACCGACAAAACTAGCCCCCAATTACCGACAAAATTAAATGTCCCAACATGGGTGTCGATCCCGGGGGGATGGGGGGGATATATCCCCTCCCCCCCCAATATTTCAGGTGGGGGGGGGGGGATGGCCTGTACAATAATCCCCCCAATAATTCACCCTCAAAACAAAACAAAAAAATTAATGATGAGAGCCCGATGAGAGTAGTTAATGGTTATTACTCGCAAGATGACCGTCAATATACACATTTTGTTATCTCATTTTCATAATACATACATATATACGAAGTAAATGTGACAACCGTATATGAGACAAGAATAAATTGAATTCGCGTTCATACGGCTTCATCAGGAATTGATGAATTTATTCCCTTTGTTCAATCAACAGCATCATAGTAATGCAGTGCGCCAGATGCAAGACGCAGCGTTAAAAAGCAACGAGCTAAATGTTAAACGCGAAGCGCAAAAGTAGCAATCTGCAACATCAGACAATCCTAGACAGTGTAAGCATAGATGCACTTTATGACAAATTATGGCGAATTGCACTCAGACAAGGACACGATACAACGAATCGTCTTCTTCCTCTAATAATTTAATGAAACGTCAAAGCTTCCGCGCTTCGCGCGGGAGGGGGGGAAATTGAATTCACACAAGGATTAAGAGTCGAGAATGGCCTACATCGAAACGTCTTCTTTCTTTAATAATCTAATAAAACGTCAGAGCTTCCGCGCTACGCGCGGAGGAAGGGGAACTTGATTCAAACATTAAGGATTAAAAGTCGAGAATGGTACGAAATCGTCTTCTTTCTTCAACAATCTAATAAAAAGTCAGAGCTTCCGCGCTATGCGCGGATGAAGGGGAACTTGATTCAAACATTAAGGGGGTGTGGGGGTGTGTTAGGGGGTGTGGCTGATAGGCCTACCGCGCGAAGCGCGGAAGCTTAGACGTTTCCTTAAATTATTAGGAAAAGAAGACCATTTATTGTACCATTTTTTTTACTGTTAACCCTTGTCTGAATGAATTTCCTCCCCCCCCCCCCCCTCCCGCGCGAAGCGCGAAAGCTTTGGCGTTTCATTAAATTATGATAAAAAGAAGACGATTTGCTGTACCGTTCTCGACTGTTAATCCTTGTCTGAATTTAGTTCCCCCCCCCTAGCCCCCCTCCCGCGCGGAAGTTTTGACGTTTCATCAAATTATTAGAGAAAGCAGACGATTTGTTGTACCGTTTTCGACTCTTAACCCTAATAAGGCCGGGCTATTTGAGGTCTTAGTATGGCCGGGGGGGGGGGGGGCATTATGGCCCCCCTTAAGATCTCGGCTGCGAAGGGACCGATCGCCGCGAAAATTTGCACGCATGTCAAGTGAAGTGTATAGAATAATATGATAATTTCAATTTTTTGAAAAATTCACTCATTTGCATATTTATGGTAATTTATGCAAATAAAGTCATAAAACTCACATTTTTACCCATAAATCAAACATTATTCATAATTAGGCATTCTTTTTCACTACATATATTCATTAGACCATTCTGAATAATAATACAACAAAAAAATTTGGAAGAGCCAGCTTATTCCTTATGTTATCCCTTGTTTTGATAATTTCTTATGTATTTCATTGTTTTTGTTGTTTTATTTCATTTCTTACTACAATTCAATTATTTTGACACCCAAAACAACCACCTAAACTTTAAACAAGACCCAATAACCCATGTTTGATCTGTTTTTAGGAATAATGATTTTTCCATATGTTTTGTACACAAATCACGAAAATGAGCGATTTTCGGGCTGACATGCAAAGACAAAAGGTCACGTGACCTTGTAACCGTAGGTCCGATTTAAAAAAAAAATCTTTTAAAAGTTGCGCAAGACTCTAAAGAAAAAGTCAGGGAGTGGCGGGGCGCCATCCATATGCGTTCTTGAGCAATCAGAAAAATCGTGGAGGGGGGGGGGGCCATAATGCCCCCCCGGCCTTATTAGGGTTAATTAGCCCTATTTATCTTAATTCAATTTACCCCTCTCGCGCGAAGCGCAGAAGCCTTGGCGTTTCCTTAAATTATTAGAGAAAGTAGAGAATTCGTTGAACCGTGCTCGACTCTTAATCCTTGTATTAATTCAGTTTCTCCCTCTCTCTCCCACGCAAAGCGCGGAAGCTTTGACATTTCATTAAATTATTAGAGAAAGTAGACGATTTGTTAAACCGTGCTCGACTCTTAATCTTTATCTGAATTCGGTTTACCCCTCCCGCGCAAAGCGCGGAAGTTTTGACGTTTCATTAAATTATTAGAGAAAGCAGACGATTGGGTGTACTGTTCTCGACTCTTAATCCTTGTCTGAATTCAGTTTCCCTCTTCCCGCGCGAAGCGTGAAAAGCTTAGACGTTTGATTTAATTATTATTATATTACGATTCGTTGCACCGTTTTCGACTCTTATTAAGCCCTATTTATCTGAATTAAATTAAATTCATTCAATATGAACAACAAATTAATTCATTCATAGACCTACACAAACATCACATGCATTGCAGCCCTTAAATATCATCCCCTCGTCCCTTAAGTTTTAGGTGTGTAGCGACAAATGTTACAGTGCATTCATTTATAATTCACTGGTATACATATTGTGTTTTTAATCCAAAATGGCCGCTTTAGAAGTCATTGAGAGTTCGAGGATTTGGTATTACGCCATGTCCTCAGAACTGGTTTTAACTCGATTTATTATATAACGATGTTTATTCATTAGTATTTTGATCACATGACCAATTAACATAGATGTACGCGTATTTATTCATAAGTATTTAGATCACGTGCCTTATTAACATACATGTGCGCTTGTTTTGAACCAATCGCGCTGTAGTTGATTGGCGCTCTTCTGATTTTCCTGTGCGGGAATCAGTGAGCTGTTTTAATATTGGTATACACACATGCTGTTATTGTGTTGATATTTGTACCTAGAAAATTGTATCCAACGAGGATTGAACTGCTACGTCCCCGGACCATTCCCGGTGGACGTGCTCACCTATTTACATCTTGTACGTTTTGCAAGATATATTTTGACTCTCTCGATGTTCAGCATTGACGACACTTTAATTCACCAGCAGTGAGAATAGAACATTTAATATGATCTAACGTTTTTCTCACCTGTATTATTGTTTGACAACCTTTTATCATCGACTTCATATGATATATATTGTCTCGACATTTGATTCTTCTACCTGCATCGCAAGTCACTGAAGTTGATCTATTGACATTGACTGCATCATCATTGTATTCATCTGTTTATACTGATTCATCATCATCGTCTTCATCATCGTTGTCTTCATCATCGTTGTCTTCATCATCATCTGCACCATCATTGTCTTCATCACTGTAGACGTAGACCCTAGTCATCGTCTTCATGCATCATCGTTATCGTTCATCTAGCGTCGATCATCGTCTGCATTTTCTACGCGATCGACAACCAGCTCATCGACCACCGTTTTCGACTAGCTAGTTTCTACATCTATCTAGAACTTGAAGAAGATCTAGCCTACTTTGAATTCAACTCCAATGACTCACGTAACGTTAATTATATTGTGATTTATGCTTTGCATTGTTTATCATTGTGAGGCCTTATTTTGACTGACTGAGTGCCTGTTGTTGAGTGCGTACGCTTACTAACACATATTTTACATGTTTATAATTGCACTAGTTCTAGGCCTATGCCTGGTCTACTGATCTAGATCTGCTATAGTCTAGATCCACTGATATATTGTTGTATTCTCGTGTTGTGCATTC